CATACTTTCCAATGATCTTTTCATTAATTGATGAGGATTACACATTCATCGCCACTCATATGTCACTGCGTTTCAATTGCAGTCGTGACCAAAGCCGCGGGATGTATCATCATTGACACATCCTCCTTTAATAGACATAACCTGCATCCTCCTTTCTATTTCCCGCGCTTCACATCCACAAATCATTCATTGGCCTTCTTCGTGCGTATATCCGGGTGGCCGTTCCGCCGCCTACGGCGGGCGGCCACCTTACCCTAGTACCATCCAACCTGGCCAGCGAACCGCACATACATGCGACACAGCAGTCAGTCCTAGGCGTGTGTAACGAGCTAGACTAACTCGTTTTTGAATATTGCGTCCCATTAACTGAAAGATGAAAAAAATAGAACTGGTCTACAGCAGCAGCAGTCGCCTACCATACAGTCAACCCTCGTCGAAAAGAAACAAGACTGAAGAGTATGTGAGGTCTACGTATGAAGACGATCGACCACAGTCAAACGAACGTGAAAGCTCGCAATCTTTTACTCTCATCATACACATTATTCTGCTCATCATACAGAGGCGTGGATCTGTTTGTTGTGTGCATGCATGCATGTGAATGCATCCCCTATCGTGAGGTGGATATTCCGTTTTTCTCCATGCATGACTAATATCGTTGAGAAACTGAATGCATCTGCTGGGTTATCTAACGGGTGCAGTCTGTGCTTGCATACAGTGCAGTACATCGACGGAGAGAGTTTTGTTCTCACTAAATAAATCCTGGTCTCGGATGAAAGCGATGCGCTGCAAAGCTCGTTTGTTAGTAAACCATAATCGACTTCGTAAGTCGCGAGGGAAGGGATTGCTGTACCCTTCTCGCGATAAAAATACCTCAGGCATGAACCGCAGGAGGGGGTCCAACCCCCCCTCCTATGTGACCCCGGTTGGGTCGTCTAGCTAGTAGAAGTGGAGGATAGGGGCCAGAGGGGCAGACGACAGAGTCCAATGATGGGAGAAAAACAAACAAAAAAAACAAAATCTCGTGAGTAGAGATTCTTGAAGAATGTGGTATAGTCTAGGCAGCACAACAGATCTTCAGGTTTGCTCCGCAGAACTTGTCCCAAGGGCATAGTCTAGACTACGTGCGTACATACGGAAACAAGTTCTTCTTTTCGTCCCCAAATGGTGTCGGCGTGTCGGCGTCAATTCCAGCTGGCATCGCGGCAATCAATTGACATCATGAGACATGGAAGAAAAAATAAGAGAAACAGGCAAAGAACATTTTGTAAATGATCTTGGGCATCACGTCCAAGTTTCAGGCAGCGTGGACATCTATCTCAGTTCACACCTACCTGAAGATTACTGCGGTCTAGACTAATGATCATATGCATAGACTATGCACATGCTTGTGCATGTTGTGCTTCATGCACGCACGTATTGTTATCCATGTGTAGACTAACTATCACGTCCTGCCAGTTGGTTGTGGGTAACACAGCAGCAGCTGCCTGCGCTCATCGATATGACAGCATCTCGCTTCTTTGCCAATGACGGTCAGCCATCCTTTGCTGGCACCCTCGACTAGACTACATCGTACCTTTCGAAGATTGGCGCTGATTCAGTGCTACTACAGCAAGAGAGGTGTTGGCACATCGATCGCCCATCCTAGACTACAGCAGTGTGGCCACCGCCTGCCGTCCATTTTTCAGTTTTTTTGGTCGAAAAAGGGCGGGAAGTTGCCAAAGAACACATGTCATACCACTCGCATATTTCTAGTCTAATTCTCTATACTGCTGCATGGGGCAAACTGCAGCGCTGTTGTGCACCCCACACACCGCGAATCACTGCCGCTAGCTGAGCACATGGGTCAGCCGGGGATAATCTTCCCACACTGCTGTGCAAGAAAGAATTTCCACGGTGTACGGCGGGCAGCGGCCGCAACCAGCAGCAGCAATGTATGATGCCACCGAACAAAAGACGGGGGCGGAACACTCACTGTCCATCGCATCCGCCGGCTTCGGTGTGCCTGGTGAGGAGGGTCAGGGAAGCAAAAAAGATCGCCG